GTGGCCGTGGGGGTCCCCCCGGCGGTTGGGGGGGGGGGGGACAGGACACAGGGTTTTGGGGGGTTTTGGGGGGCCATGGGGGAGAGGGGACACAAGCGTCCCAAGTGCCACCGGCAAACCGCATCCCGAGCGGGGACGGCCGCGTGTCCCCAGCGCCGCGCGGGAAGGAGCTGACCCAGAGTCCGAAGGGATATTTGCGGGGGCTCCTGCCCCTGTCCTGTCCTTGGGGTGTCCCCACGCCCGTGGGTGCCCGGCGGCTCCGGCGCCCGTGGGTCCTGGATGCTGCTGTCACCTCCTCTCTGGCCACTCACCGGTGAATGTCCCCAGCCTTGTGCCAGCAGCAAGGTGACGCCCGGGGACCGGAGCCCATCCTGGGGCGCGGTGCATGTCCCTGACCCCGTGCCAGCAGCAGGGTGACGCTTGGGGACCGGAGCCCATCCTGGGGCACGGTGCATGTCCCTGACCCCATGCCAGCAGCAGGGTGACGCCTGGGGACCGGAGCCAGCCCGGTGGGCAGGCAGAGCCGGGGGAGCTGCAGGGGGAACGGGGGTCCCTCGGGCGTCCCCCCCGGCCCCGCACGGCTCACACCAGGTGCCCGCGGCCGTTGATGTAGATGCCGTTAGTGGTCGGCTTGGCCTGCAGCATCCCGTTCTCCTGCACAAAGTGGGTCATGGCCTGCTTGATGGGGTCATCTCCCCTGCCGCCACCATCCTCTTCCTCCTCCTTCGGCTCCTTCCCTGCTGGGGTTGGCAGCAGCGGCACAGCCGGCACCTCCGTCTGCGTCTCGATCTCCCGCACCGTCGAGAGCGTCGAGTAGCTGCGCCCTTCGGGCTCTTCACTCTGCGGTGACGAGGGACGGGTCGGGGTCACCACCGATGAACGAACACCCCCGGGGACCACCATGGGGCTGGGGTGCTGCCACGGGGCACAGCCAGGGACACGGGTGCAAGGAGCTGCACAAGGGCTCGGTGCATGGGCCTGCAAAGGTGTGTGCAGGTGGGAGGGCTTTGCACACCCAGAAGGGGGTTGGACACATGGGGGGGGGATTGCATGTGTGCAAGAGGGGGTTTGCACATGCAAAGTGGGGTTTGCGCATATGAAAGAGGGGATTGCACACGTGGAAGGGGTTTGAACACCCCAAGGGGAGTATGCACCCGTGAAAGGGGGCTGCACACCCCGAGGGAGGGCTTGCACCCATGGAAGGGGGTCGCGCACCCAGAAGCGGGGGGCTGTGCCTGCCCAGGAGCGTGTGGAGGACACGCTCCGACAGCCACAGCCCCGGGCCGGGTGCAGGTGCGGGGCTGCGCCGTGCCCCCCGCCCCACCGTGCCCCCCGCGGCTCTCACCATGGCAGAGCAGATGCTGGTGCCGCGCAGGCTGTCCCCGCGCAGGCTGTCCCCGCGCAGGCTGCCCTGCCGGCTCTCCGCACGCAGCTGCAGCGTCTCCTCCAGCTGAAGCAGCCCCGTGAGACCCCGCACCTCACCGCCCAGCCCCGGGGTGCCCCACGGCCCAGCCCCACGGGCACCCTGCTCCCCGGTCCTCCTTCAACACCCCCGTACCCGGCACCGGGGCACCTTGATACCCACCACCCCGGGCACCCCAACACCCACCACCTTGAGTACCCCAAGACCCAATCCCTTAGGTACCCCAACACCCATGGCATCCCAGCACCCATCACCCAGGGTACCCCAATATCCAGTCACCCTGAGTACCCCAACACCCATCACCTTGAGTACCCCAAGACCCATTTCCTTGGCTTCCCACCACCCATGACCAGGCACCCCAAGACCGATCATCCTGGGTACTCCAAGACCCATCACCCTTGTGTGCCCCATCACCCAGGCCCCCCAATACCCATCACCATGAGTACCCCAAGACCCCATCCCCTGGGCACCCCAGGACCCAGGCCCCCGCCGGCCCCCACCTGGGTGCGCGTGTCGGTGCTGTGGCTGGAGTGCAGGCGGCGGATGGAGTTCTCCCGGGTGAGCGTCAGCTCCTCCTCACTGGGGGCACGGGGGGACA